TGCAGGCTTCTTTTCAACATAAGAGAATTGGGTTAGACAAATTCAGAACCATTTTTTGTTCTAACATTGTATTTATAAGGCAGCCATTAGTCCCATGTGGCTAGTCTGACCTGAGATGTGCTGCAAGTGAAAAATATGCACCAGGTTTCAAGACTTTATTCCAAAATAAATATAAAATATCTCATTAATTTTAACAGATGATATGTTGCAAAGATAATATTTGGGGTATACTGGGTTAATTAAAATATAAAAACTCATTTTATGTATTTGTTTTTATTTTTTAAACATATCTACTAGAAAATTTTGAGTTATACACGTGACTCACATTATTTTTCTACTGAATAGAACCATTTCTTTTGTGAGTACATCAAATTCTAGAAAACTCCAAGTAGTCTCACCTGGAAAAAGTAATGTTACATCATTTTTCAATTCAATTTCTTTTAAAAGAAAAAGTAAAGATTTTCATGTCACATTGACAGAGTTTAGGAAAAAGACCATCAATGTTTCTTTTTCTTTCTCCCTTTCTTTTTTCTTTTTTGTACCAGGAATGGAACCCAGGGGTGCTTAACCACTGAGCCACATCCCCCAACCTTCCTTTTTAAATTTTTTTAAATTTTGAGACAGGGTGTCACTAAGTTGCTCAGGGCCTTGTTAAGTTGCTGTAGCTGGTCTTGAACTCACAATCCTCCTACCTCAGCCTCCTAAGCCACTGAGATTACCGGCATGTACCACCACAACCAGCATCAATGTTTCTTTAGCTAAAATTTTATTTCCTTCTTCTCTGAATAAAACTTTAGTGACAACCAAAAGGGAAAATCAGCCAGACATGATGACACATGATCCTAGTGATTCAGGAGGCTGAGGCAGGAGGATTACAAGTTTGAGGTCAGCCTCAGCACTCAGCAACTCAGTAAGACCTTTGGCAACTTAGGGAGACCCTGTCTCAAAATGAAAAATAAAAAGGGCTGGGGATGTGGCTCAGTGGTTAAGCACCCCTGGTTCTAGCTTCAGTACAAAAAGGAAAAAAATCAGACCCCTACCCTATGCACATACATATAACATCTCTTCTACATGGGAATGCCAAGATTTGAAAGCAACTAACTGCTTAACTTATCAGATCCAAAAGGCTCAAGTTTAGCTCACATCCTGCTGTTCTTTAACTTCTGGGCCAAATAAAGAACAGTGGATAGAGATAAGGCATCAATTGTGTTTTAGGACTGACATTCTGGGAAGAAAGAAGAAGAGGGATGATTTGGAAGCACTTATGAACAGAGTGGAGGGGGTAGATTGCCTGCAGACATTGAAGATATGTACACTTTCAATGATTGGGCAGGACCTTGAATGCCAAGGAGACCTAGGGCTGAATGTCAAAGGCAACGGTCTGAGCGACCTGATAGAAGCATGTTAAGAGGAGTCCTTGGCCTCTTCGCTATCATGCAACAGTATGTGGATGTTCCTCACCTGGAGGACTTATTAGAATCCAGAGCTACCCACATTGTTTTCCTATTCTCTCATGCATACAAATTTTTGCTTCCCCCCAAAGAGAATGTTACATTCCTCTTTCTCTATGGCTAGAACCAAGGTTGATGTTTCTTTTGAACATCAAGACAGTGGTAGGCACAGAATAGGAGCTCAGTGCTTTTTAAAATGATGTACTGAATCTATTTCCTCTTCTTTTATATACTTCACAGGGGAAAATGAATAAAGAATCCTGGGGCTGGGGTAATGGCTCAGCAGTAGAGCACTCGCCTAGCACTTGCGAGGCCCTGGGTTCGATCCTCAGCACCACATAAAAATAAATAAAATAAAGGTATTGTGTCCAACCACTACTAAAAAAAAAAAAGAATCCTAATTTCTAATGAGAGTCCCTGGGGGCAAAATGGAAATCAGTTTGACTCCTGTCCCCTTCCTCTCTCTGCACTGTCTCCCTTCTTCCTGGGTTTTTACCAGCAATGTCTTGTTGCTGAAACTCCTAGTTCTTGACCTGCAGGTCTAGAATCCAAACTGTCCCCATCTTCCTTCCAACATTCAACCTCCTTAGGGCCAAAGGTCTTACTGATATATTTTTCTTTCACCTAAACATGGCTTGGGTTGAATTGTAACTGATCATCTGTTTTAACCAGTGGGCTCTCTCAACCCAGCTTCACAACTTACTTGACCACTGTTCTGCTGCGTTCAAATGGTCTAAGGAATCAAAAGACATCCATCACTGTTTCAAAGGTCTTGGAGTTGATACCAGAAAGACAGAAGAGTTTTTGGTTATTCTGTGAATAATAAATAATACCAAACTGTGACTTGGGAGAGGGTAGGTTGAATTTGGTTAGAGCTATAGCCATTCCAGCACCAGGGGTGGGAGATCCCAGGAAATTTATGAAGCCTGAATTCATATTCTCTGTTTGTTTCTCTCTCAAATTTATTTTTGCTGCCCTGCCCTCTTAAACTGATAATTACAAAGTTACTTCAGGAAGAAACAAGGAGTATCATTCTCTTCCCAGGGTTTTTTTTTTTTTTTTTTTAGTTAACTTTTAAAAAGTTTGAACCACCTGAGAAAGCCAGTCCTACACCATGAAATGTAGCAGAAAATCACTCAAAAATGTCATGTACAAGTACTTGAAGATAGGATCCATTAACAAGGCTCTATAAAATGAGAGTTAAAACCAGAAGTAGATAAACTGCAACAGATAAGAGTCAAATTTGGTTTGTGAAGGTATTACCTCTAGGCAAATATTGACGTTTCTTTTCATTTTTCCTTATATTGCATATAATGTAAAATTGAAGGTGGCTGAAATTTCTGCTATTATTTGTGTTGTATTGTATTTTCGTTTAATAGAGAAAAGTTCAAGTAATGTCCCTGCTTTTTTTTTTTTTTTTTTTTCCCGTGACTCTAGGCTGGGCTAAGAATAACCATTCACCCTGTGCAACCCAAGCCACAGACACCTTGTGTTAAAGAAAGGATCTGCCTTTGCAGGCTTGCTCTTGCCAACTGGTACCACTCAGCAGCCAAGCTGCAAGCTTCCCCTCCTCTAGCAAGGCTGGAGATGATCCCAGATCCCAGTCCCCCCCCCACACACTAACTCCACCCAATTTGCTCCTCTCAAGAAAGTATGTCTTGTGTTTTTCTAATTACAACATCTTCCCCACCCCACCCCCAGCAATTCTGATCTCCCTCCACAAGGAGCCAATATCACCTCCAATTATCTCCTGGGCCCAAGAATCAGTGCTTTAAACTAATGAGCTATCTCATCCTTAGGGATTCTTGCAGGTTAAAAAGGGATGCTTGGAGAGAGATCCAGTAGGACAAGGCTGCCATGGCAGAGATTGAGCAAAACAAAGAAGCCACCTCTTCATCCTTACCTTCTAAGTCTGTTTGAGTGCCCAGTGAGCATTATTCTCTTATTTATAGGATGACATCTATGTAAGTATTCCGGTAACAGATTAATGAATGGTGTGTGTGTGTGTATGTTTGTGTGCGTGTGCATGCACATGTGTGTGCATGTTTGTTGTATAACTAAACAACTATGCTTACAATATATGATTATTTGTGTGTTTATCCAAGAGTGTTCAAAGAGATCCAAGAGCTTCCTCTTACTCCCCAGGCCCATTGTATTGAAGGAAGAGACACTGGGTTTTAAAATAACTGATCTGCTTCATATTTTTTAAATTTCAAGATAACTGTAGACTCACCTAAGTTGGAAGAAAAAATACAGAGATCCTCTAAGTACTTAACCCTATTTTTTTTCCAGTGGTAAAATTTTGTATAACTGTTATACAATATCACAATGAGGAAATCAACATAAACAATCAGATCTTATTTAAATTTGACTGGTTTTACAGGCTCTCATTTGTGTATACTTTTAGTTCTCTGCATTTTTGTGTGATCTGCTTTTGAACGTCAGCTCTATTAAGTATTTTCTTTGTGATCACAGAAAAGCTCTTTTGACATCTGGGAGACCCAGTTTCCTCATATATTAAATGCTATAATGTCTGCCTCCTCAGGATTGTTGGTGGGAGGATTAGGTAAAAAAAAAAAATCTGTTGCGTCTTCAACACACTGGATTCTCAATAAATGCTGATTTCCTTCCTGTCTTGTTCTTGCTGCTGCTCTTTCCCTTAGTAGCAAAGGGTTTGCTCCAGTTTTCTTGCTGAAATAATCAGACTGTGGGAAGTAATAAGTCAGGCGGATCCTTCTTCAAGGGCAGCACTTTTAACCCTGCAGCTCAAGAACCATGGGTGCTGCTTGGGGCCCACAGCTACTGCCACCTCTAGCCTAGACTTGAGATCCTGTCTGCACTGAGATCAGAGGAGAGAATAGGTACGCGGAGAGTGCGAAAACCATTACTTTGTTGGGGCGTGTAGAGTACGGATGCAAGGGGGTGAGGCTCTGGGACCACCAACTCCAGAGTTTCTGTTCTGCTTGGTTGTGACCTAGGTTTGGATGTACCCTCAGAGGGGCTGCACAGGCGGCAGGAACCCATGAGGATGCCGTGGGCAGGTGTTGATGCCATCTAGAGGTTCGTAGGATTCAGAGTCAAGCCCGGAGGTCTCTGCCTCCTAGACCCCTCTTCCCCTGATAGCGAGGGGCCTCCCCAGAGCTGGGAAAGCCAGGCCACTTGCGGGCAAAAGTGGCACCTGAATTCACAGTTTAAGGTCGCACAGGCTGCAGACGCTGTCTGCAGGGTGTCCTAGTCGCCGGGTGCGTGTGGGAACGTTTGGAAGGAAAGGGTGGCTGGCAGGCTGGAGGCGGAGAGGCGGACGTGCCAGCTCCTGGGCAACCTCCGCCCGCACCCTGAGCCCTGGCGTTTCCAAGTTCAAATCTCCGTGGCTGAGGCTCAGAAGGGTCACTCGTCCGCGAGGGCCCAGACAGCGCCACCCGCTCCTCCCTCGGCTGCAGGAGCCGCGCGGGCCGCGGAGGAGGAGCCGCGCCCGGGTCGGCGTCGCCCTGACTCCTCCTCCCCGCGCGGGCCCTGCTCTTCCTCCCGGGCGTCCAAAGCTCTGGGTGGCTGAGGCCGAGCCGGGAGCTGAGCGCGCTGGGCGCGGCCGTCCCGCTGCCGCCCTCGCCGAGCCCCGAGTGCGCCCGCGGCCATGCTCTCCGCGGTAGCGCCGGGAGCCTGAGCCCCGGGACGCGGTAAGCAAGGAGCCCAGCTCCAGAGTCCCCCGACCCCCCGGCCTGAGGGTGCGGGGAGGCCTTGCGCTGCCCGCGCGCCGTCGGCGAGGCCCTGAGCACCAGGGACAGAATGTGCACTGAAACCCCCTGGGGCTCCCCTTCTGAACCAGGGGTCAGGGCGCTCGCTGACCCCGCGGGCCTGAAGGAAGCGGGGACTGGACTGCCGGCCCCGGCCCAGGGGCTCCTTGGGACCAGGCGGGGAGGGGGCGGCTTTGGCCGCAGAGAGGAGGGGCCGTGGCGGAGGAGCGGGCTGCGCTCGCGGGGGGCGGGCCGGCGGGCGGGGAGGATGCGGTGCAGCCCGCGGCCCCCGAACGCAGCGCTTTTGTAAGAGCTGGCCCCTTACATATGGAAATGACGCTCGCGCGGGTCCCCATTCGCGTCCTTTTGAAGGACGCCGGTCCGGAACCGCGGCGCCGGCTGCGAAGTATTGTCCGGCTTCTTGAACCCTAACAAAGCGCCCTCCTTCGCTTTGCAGAGCACTGGAGGCAGGCAGCCGGGTGTGCGGGCGCTCCGGAGAGGCCGACAGAAGGTAGGCGAGGGCGGCGGGGGCCGAGAGAGCGTGCTGCCTGGTGACACAATGGAGTGTCTCAGGCTTCTGGTGGTGGCGATGGACAGGTGGGTCGGGGACGCGTTGCGGGTTGCCAGGGACCTAGGCGGCGCGCCTGCCCTCTGGCCGCACCTCAGCCTCCCAGACCTGCAGCGCCTCTGCCACCCTCTTGGCTCCAGCCGCAAGCCTGGAGCTGAAAGCTGCTACTGTCTGTTGGTCCAGGCAGCAGATTTGAGTCCCAGAAGCAGCAGAAAGGCTTGCTGTTCTGTTGGTATGTGCCGCCCAGGCAGCCCTGTGATTGAGAAGCTGAAGAGAAAGCTGCGTGGGGTACTCCGAGATGTTAGCCTGTGCTGTTTGTGTAGCGCACAGCTATTTGGAGCCTTTAAAGTGGAGATTTTAGGTGTGTAGGATCAATACATGTAGAGACTTTCCCAATACAATTACTAGGAAAGGGGGAAACGACTACAGTGACAAGTCACCAGAGCAGAGAAATCGAAGTGTCTAATGAAAGTGAGGAACGTCGGGGGAGGAAGCTTCCAGGGTTCCAGCTGAACTCTACAGCTACTAAACCGGCCCCCACAAAAGGACAAAGCTGATGGAAAGAGTTACTGCTTAAAGCCCCCACCCCACCCCCCACCCCACCCCGAATTTCAAAGAGAGATTGAAAGGGGCAATTTTCCTAGTCTCTGACCTGATGAGCCATGGTTAAGGTGCGAATAAAATGGGAGCTGAAACTATTGTTCTACCTTATGTCATGTTTCTAGACAACTTAGTTATTATGAGGTCTTCAGCTCTCCACTTCACTGGGACAGATCCCCTCCTGGTGTTGAGGAATTACTGAGATGGGCTTGTCCTACAACTCAGTTCTTGAGTTTACTAATAATAAAAGCAGATTGATAGTTGTCTTTGTGAGTGTCAAGGTAGTTTTAGGATAAGAATCCTGATTAAAGTCCATAAGGGCACATAAGATAGGCTCCTAGGATCATGGAAGATTTCTTTTCAAATTCATACATGAATTTGTATGTGATTACATACTTCCTAAGGCTTAATGATCTACAGGAAATACATTTTGTTTTCTGTCAGCATAGTTTTATCTTGTTTCTTCTCTAGTTGTAGCATTTTACTCTTTTTATATTTATTTTTTAGTTGTAGATGGACACACATTCTTTATTTCATTTTTATGTGGTGCTGAGGACCGAACCCAGTGCCTCACATGTGCTAGGCTAGCATGCTACCACTGAGCCACAACCCCAGCCTGAGTTGTAGCATTTTATATTGGTGGCCTACCTGGAATATTGGTAGATCTTGCTCTGAATTGAAAGTAGCTGTGAAATTCCCAGGTTGTAAGAGTAACATTGCAGGATGACTGAAAATGAGTTTGTGTGTTTTCTTCAACTGTTGTCAGTGTTCCTCTTTGGGAAGTGATGAGAACTGCTGGGATGGAGGGTTGTTTGCAGATTTGTTTATTTTCACCTGTAATCTGGTGCTTCTTTAGAGGGAAGCATCCCGAACTGCAATGTAGATAAAGCAAATGAGTTGTACTTAAGCAAAGACCTTGCCAAGACAGGGAGAGGTTTTACTGGGGCAATAGAGAAGAAGCCATCATCAGCATGGACTTTACATTAAAATGTCAAGGATCAGTCATTTTAATAGGCACTTGCCCAGAATGACATGGGCTTCATTTTTCTTATTTTTTCATTTTAGATATGTAATGACCCTTAATATCAAAAGATGTTAACTCACACAGGGGGAGAATCTGGCTCCAATGAATTCTGAACAGCCAATCTTCATTTAATAGGCAATGTTCTTATCATGAATCAAATGTTGTTCAAATAAATTGTTTTAAATGTCACTGAAAATGATTTTCTAAACTAACATTTCACCAATCTTGATGCTTCCATTTTATGTTGGTAATGGAAATACATTTTATCGGTCTTACACTGATAAAGGCTTGGCAAGTTTAGCCAGAAGCATTTTAGAGGGATTCAGATAGCCCAGAGCCTTTTCAGAAGGCTTGTTTTTGTAGATGCCAATTCATTTGTAAGCCAATAAATAATGCAGTTTGAATTCTGGCTATTGATCTTGCATCTGTTGGGCAGAAGCTTGTGGGGAGACTTACTGAACCTTGCAAAATGATATTTTTATCCCACTTACAAATAAGATAGGATTTTGAAAAGATTATGGGATTATACAAGTCAGCAACATTGAGATTAGTATTTTTATTATTATTATTTGTAGCAGCACTTATTCAAGCTTTCGGATGGAAAAAAAAATACTGCAAAGCCATCTGTACCTAAAAGCTCACTTAAAATACAAAGTTGGGAAAATATTATTTATGGATGTGAGAATAGAAGCACTTCACTTATACCCCAGGGAACTGTACTCATAGATTTAGGCATCCTAAATTAATTTGAGTAAATATGGCTCAAGAATTGAAAGTTGTTATAAGCTTTCTCTTTTAGAAAAGAAGTAGTCAACGTGCAACTCTGTTTTCTGCTCCCATAATTTTACTTAGTAGTTGATTATAGGTTATTGGATCTACCTTGTGCTAAGCTGATGTTTTTTTCCCATCTACTGCCCTGAGTTAACTACTTGATTGGGTAATCCACCTGCTGTTAGATTTAACAAAAGCCTGGTTTGCTGTAACCTTCAGGGTGGTAAAATACTAAAGCTTGTTTATGATTTGGGATAAGTGCTAATAGGACACCCTTAGTTCAATAAAATTTTATAGTATATTTAGCACAGATTATTGTTTTCTTTCAGATTTATTTAAATGTTGCTTTTTCCTGTGTAATGGCACTTACATTTTTATGGTATATTTTTATACCACAGTTTTATTCCTGGTAGCACCATGTTGCTTTTGGTAACCAGCCTGGTGTGAGGGGCTATTTGAGCAGAGAGGAGGCTGATTGTGATTGGTTTGCTGCTGAACAGCCATAGTTTTTGGACTGAAGGGTTCTCCTAATGAATATGCAAATAGGAGCGATAGCTTTTTTTGGTTGTTGTTGAGTTTTTTGCTAAACTTGAATTTATTCTCATCACTATTTCCTTTCATGCTGAAATTAGTCCAAAATAGTAAGCCTGGAAATCTTTGTAACAGATTAAAGAGTTTGCAGAAGAGAAAGAAACATTGCAATTTGATCATGGGCATTATTAGGCTGACTTGCCACAGGGTGAAAGCTAAAGGCCTAAATGAAAAGGCTCCCCAAGCAGTTTGTCTGTGTTCATCACTTCAGTCCCCAAGTAACTTAATTAGTCACTCGGTGGTCACTGCTCAGTCTGTGGACCCCCAACAGCTATGTCTGAACACAGGTCCGAAAGCATCTATTATGATGTCCTAGAAGGGAGAGCTGCTGAGCCGAGAGGGGCATCCAGACATTCCACAGAGCTGTTCAGCTGCTGGACCATCTGGAGGGGAAATCAAAGGCCTGGGCTAGGGGCTCTGGCATTGTGCTTATTTATTATTTGGGTTTCACTTGCTAGACTTTGTCTTCTTTTCACTCCCTCCAGCCCAGAACAGACGTCCCTGTTGGCTGGGGTACCATTCATTCAAGCTCCTTTCTGTACCTCAGATGCTGGAAAGTTCATAAGTTCACATAAGCACTTCATCCTGGCCTTGTGTCTGCACTCCATTATTCGTGCCACACCTCCACCTATTCCTTTTGCAGTCTCAGTTGGTCCTGTAATTCCATCAGCCAGGGCAGCCAAGTGGAGCACAACAATGCAGATCTGTAATGGACATCCCTGTCAGAGTCTGCAGCATTTTGGCAGCCTTATTTTGAATTATTTTGGAAGAAAGATGTTCTGAACAATTGTCGTTATAGCTGGTTATTGGGTGGTAAATGTTTTGATTAATGATTCTGTGCATCTGCCTCTTATTTAACTATCCCTAGTTAGAACTCCTAAATATTACCCACCCTGGCCCTTTTATTCCAAAAGAATCATAAAGGTCCCAAACCACATGATTGGGAAGGTCCTTGGTGAGGAAAGGCTTAGGTTTATGTCAGGTTTCATAAAATTGGAATTGTTCTTTGCAATTTGAAGGATTTACCACTCGAGCCCAACTTTTTAAATCTCTAAGATTCCTGCCACTGATGGATGCCAGTTAGGCTTTGGCTCTGGAGTGCACTAGATTGTATACTTAAGTATTTATTTGGGAAGATTAATTGAACAATTATCATTTCCTCAGCTATGCCCATATTGATGATGAGACTCTTTATGATCATTCTATATAAAAATGTATTTTTTCCATGCCCAAATCCCAAAGGTGCATTAGGAAAAAAGCATGCTTATTCTATCTATGTATCCCAAGAGCCTTGCAGCCTGTACTCATTCAGTAAAGGGTTCAAGGGAGGGAGCAGGTAAGGATTTCACTTCTTCCCATTCTAATTTGGAAAAATTTGTGGCCAGGGAGTATTCCATGGTGGCTTCTCATACTGAGTACTGTTCAGCTGGCTGACACATAAAGGTGGAGGTTAAGTTTGTCAGTGGTATCATTCCAAGTGTGGTCCCGTTCATGTGTTCTTTGTGCACTGGAGGATAATTTATTGCCATACCAGATTTTAAGTTCAGCTCTACCCCTATATTAGTTCTGTATCCTTGAACAAATTGCTTAATTTTGCCAAGCCCCAAGTTTTAATACCTTAAATGGGGATTCTGCTTTGAAGAATGGGGGTGGTGGGGAGGGTATTAAATAAGATGATAAACTTGAAACACTTAGCATAGGCCAGCTCATAGTGAATGCTCAGAGATTAATCACAGCAACAATAATTATAATAAATTCTTCTGAATTCTCAGCTACATTTCAGCCTCTCTGCATTTATTTGATGTTAAATGATCAATAATCTTCCTTTGAAGATTGAGGAAGCATGAACATTACCTGCTGCCATTATCATTTAGAAATATAATGCTGTTTATATGCATAATACATTCAATGCCTGCTCTAAAGCTCTGTTCTAAGACTTTCCACACTTCCTGCTTTGCTTCTTTGAAGGTAGATTTATGACTGATTGACTTAAGTTACTCACCTAAGTTTGTGCCTCCTTTGTGAGACTTGGGTGTTTTCTTGGTTGTTTTTCAGTTCCCCTCTTATATCACCTTTCTCTGGGATAAGCCATTCTCACTGCTTGCCATATTTAACCTTCAGAACAACCCTCCAGAGGGGTATTGTTATTCTCATTGGATAAATGAGAAGACCTGAGAAAGTGTTTTAGTACAGATTTTTCTCCAAAGTTTTCTCCCATAACAACAACAAAATGTAGCTGCAGTTTGTGAATCCATTGGCTTAATTACTAACCCATTGAACTAAGCTTCAGATGTCTTTATATAGAGTGGTTTGGTAGTCACTGCTGGCTCTGTACTTCTGCTTAGTATGTTCAAGACTAAAAATGCCCTTAAAAAAGAACTGGAAGAGGGAAGTGGAGGTGTATGTGTGGAAGAAATAGGTATTTCAAATTTTTCCTATGCTTGTTCCTACATCTCCCCATTCAGGGTAAGTCTCCTCTCAAGGAGTAGTAAGTCAGTACATGAGGTTGATCAAGTCCCTGGCCTGAAGAACAGTTTGAGGGAAGGCATAAAAGAAATAGAAGGTTTGGACCTTACACTTAAGGAACTTTCTGCTAAGTGGGGAGGAAAAAAAAAATTCTTGCACATGAAATTGCTGATGAACATTTGGAGAATAATATCAACCAGAAAAAAATACATTCTGTGCCAGATGAGTGCTTGCAGCTTGTCACCATGCATAGCAGCTCCTGGATGTTTTATTGTGAGCATTTGTTTCACAGGGGTGGGGCCTTCCCCCCCTTCAGTCCAAAGAATGTTTTCCTAAGCTTGGTATCTTAGGAAGGAGGGAGATGGAAACATAAGAAAGGAAGGCTGCTACAAAACAAAAGAAGTTCAATTTAGCAAAGTTCAGTGATCTCCCCAGAGTGGGGCATAATAGTTTATTAAATTCAAAGCAGCAGGCCAGTTGCATGTCTATAATCCCAGCAACTCTGGAGGCTGAGGCAGGAAGATTACAAGTTTGAGGTCAGCCTCAGTAGTTTGAGGCTCAGGCTAAGCAACTTAGTGAGACCCCTGTCTCGAGAAACAAAAAGAGATGGGATGTAACTCAGTGGTAAAGCTCCTCTGGTTTAATCCCATCTATTTCTATATAAGTATATCTATAACTATAGATGGGATTAAACTAGGAGAGCTTTTCTACTGAGTTACATCCCATTTCTCTATATAGAGATAGATATAGATATAGAAGTAGTGTGTGTGTGGGATTGAACTCAGGAGCACTTGACCACTAAGCTACATCTCCAGCCCTACTTTGGATTTTATTTAGAGACGGAGTCTCACTGAGTTGCTTAGTGCCTCGATTTTGCTGAGGCTGGCTTTGAACTTGGCAATCCTCCTGCCTCAGCCTCCTGAGCCACTGGGATTACAGTCATGGGCCACCACACCTGGCTAATCCCCAGTATTAAAAAAGAAAAGAAAGAAAAATTCAAAGCAGCACATCAGATAGGACTTTTCAGTGTATTGTGAGTTCTACTGCTCTCCTTCATTGACTTAGATGGATAAATTGCTGCACCTTAAAAATAATTTTAAAAAGAGGAAGTGTTAGAACTTTTTTTTTTTTCACTTTTGAGCTTTTAAATATTATGCAAAATCAAGCAAAGGTAGAATGTCTGTCTTTTCTGAAGGTGGTCAGATTACAACCCAGGGGACTGTAAACCTCAGACTGAGCCTGAGAGCCATAGCAACGCCAAAAATCCCAGAGCACTTTGGGGAATCTCAGCAAATCTTGGTTGACAATTAACTGGCAGACACTGAGTGAATCTCATTAGCCAAGCCTTGGCTTTGTCTAAATTCCTACCTCTTGTGACTTTGCATAACACCTTTGTGTTCCTTTTCTGATGCTTTGATGTTTATATAGCACTCTCAACTTATTTTGAAAATATTTGCATAGTGATTAGTTAACCCAACAGACCAACCCTGGGAAGACAGCCAGAGCCAACAGCACCTTAGTAATGGGAAACTGCTAATAGGAGAGGAGACCTCCTCAAGAACAGGGACTTGGACCCAAACCATGGCATGTTGTTTTAATGAGTGGTCCTCATAAAAATTGAGTTGTATGGCAGAACTGATCAGGACTCTTCTTCTGAATCCACCTAATTTTGTTAAGGTCGTGGAACTATTTGGGCTTATCATGTTGTAAAGTTGTTTATGAACACACAGCAGACACAGCTGAGAGAAGCACTGGTTTGCTACAGAAAGCTCTTTTATCTTCATTACTGGCTCTGTTCAACATGCTAGCTTACCTCTTCCCCAGGTAATAATGATTTTCTCTATGGAACATCACCTCTAATTCAGAGTATTTTCTGACCCAGTGCTTGGTTTAGTTGAAGATGCTGCCTTTGTTGTTGGAGATGGATAGCAGTGCTGGGGATTAAACCCAGGGCTAAGCACATGTTCTACTGCTGAGTTATACCCCAGCCCCTAGGCTGAGAGCTTGCTGTCTGTGGCTGAGATCACTGTCTCAAGGGTATGTGTTGTATTTGGCATCTATTACATCATAGTGAAGTTTCCTCCAGATGTTCAGGCTTCAGGCTTGCATCAAAAGACCTAGCACATTAGAAATGAATAATTGAGCAAGAAAAAAAAAAAAACCAACCTATTTTAAAGCATGAAGTTCTTAGAATTTTATGATGTATATTTTTAGCAAAAATATGACTCAGAGCTATTGATAACTCTAAGTATTTGACCAATCTTAGGGAAAGTGGCAAAATGGAAAGCCCTGGGGTTGGGGTGAGACAGAGATGCAAGACAGGTTAACCAGGCATAAAGGGGTGCTCCAGAGAGTTCTGGTTCCCTAAGAGTCTCTGATTCACAGAAGCCAGTCTGTGACTCCTTTCAAACCTTTCTGTCACAAGGGTTGGAGTGGTGTTTTCCCCTTTCTCTAGGCAACTAAGCATTACCTAAAGCTCCCTGGGACTATGGTGAGCTTCAGGGAATATTCTTCCTGTCACACTTCATGTAATTGCACCAACAAAGTTAATTGAGTTGCTTTGTGAAGCTCTCATGTAAAAGGCATCTGGTCTCGTGTAAACAGGGACATGGTTTGGTAGCAAACATGTTCAGCCAGTGTCTCTTGTAACTATTATGGGCAGCATCTAGGCTGAACGAAGTGGAACTAATCAGCTTGGCCACACTGCCAGATCCTAGCATCTGGGCAGGTTGTGTGGAGCATGCAGACTTGTGTGGAGGCTCTGGCTTGCACAGTTGGGTGGTGCTAACAGTTGGCTCATTTCACTGGACTGGCTGTCAGAAGCGGCCTTTCACCTTCTTTAAGTCTTGACCAGATGAACTGATAGGGAGAGAACCACTCGTGGGTTTGAATTTGATAAACCGGACATCCACCTAAGGAGCAGGAAGGAGAAGAGGGTGTCTCTCTGCCTACATGACCTGCTCCTCCTGGTAATGTCACCCCCAGTGTGATCAAGAGGTACCCCTGGTGTGAGTGTGCATGGGAGCTTTAACGGCCAAAATGGGGTCCTGGACTTGCCATGGGTTGTGTCAGAAATAGAATGTCATACATAGAAGAGTGTTCCCAAGCAGCTAGTGGTGCCAGGAGAGATTGGTGCACCAAGGACTGACCTGCCCCAACCTGTCCTTGTCTCTGTCTTGCACAGGTGAGCGCTGTGGGCTATGGGATGGATGAGGTGGAGCAGGACCAGCATGAGGCCCGACTCAAGGAGCTGTTTGACAGTTTTGACACGACAGGCACCGGGTCCCTTGGACAGGAAGAACTCACTGACCTTTGCCACATGCTAAGCTTGGAGGAGGTGGCCCCGGTACTGCAACAGACACTGCTTCAGGACAACCTCTTGGGCAGGGTAAGATGTGAGGAAGAACTATGAGTCTGTGGGAAGAGGGGTGCGGTTTCTGTCCGGGTGCTGGGGGTGGCGCAAGCCCCATATGTTGCAACTTAGCCGTTAACTCAGTTGAAAAGAAAAATGTAATGGCCATGAGCAGTGCAGTGTGCTTGGGTAACAAGAGTGTGCTTTAGTTTAGCTGTGGAATCATGTTGTGCACTGAGTGTCATAGATAGAAAAAAAAAATATTTCCCACTTTTTGTTGTTATTGTTCTTTGTGAATCATTTCATTGACTCCACATTCATCACTGGGACAGAAAGGAGGAGGCAAGATTTCCATGGAAGATAAAGAAAACACAGCAAGAAAACCGCCCATCACAGGAAGAGCAGATTTCTATTATGACTTTTGTTCCTGGTAAAACTATTTCTTGTGTGGATTGTTTCTGGGTGAAGTATTAATTAAACCTTCCACCCAGGAAGTAAGACAGGAGGGTAAGTAAATACAGTGTAGCTTCATTTAAAAACCAGCACGACTTGCTTCCAGCAGGGATGTGTGTGCGTTGCCAATGTTAACTTCTACAGTTGACAACAAATAGTCACGCTTTCCCCATAGATCTGCCGCAGATGTGAGTGAGAGGAGAGAAGGGGATTCACATCCCCCACTCTTGTGCTGATAGTGGGAAGGACTTTTTATGTCAAGACCTGAGATTTTCTTCAATTTTCATAATTATAATTATTGGATCATTTACAATGTAATACAACATTTACATTGCTTTGGATACTCTTTTTTTTTAAAAAAAAAAAAGTTGTAGATGACACAATGCCTTTGTTTCTTTCATTTATTTATTTATTTATTTTTAATGTGGTTCTGAGGATCAAACCCAGTGCTTCACACGTGCTAGGCAAGCGCTCTACCACTGAGCCACAACCTCAGCAGAATCTTTGCTGTTGGTTTTTGGAATGCATGAAAATAAAAGGTTTGAGCTTTGTTGTTGTCATTGCTGCCCCTCTGTAGGCAGTAGTTTTTATCATGTGTAGATTGAGGAAGCAGTCATGAAGCTTAACTTTATTCTAGTGACTGAACTTTCTCTTCTTCATTTTATTTTCACTGTCTCTTGGCTGACAAGGTGGGTAAATAGCCTGAGATGCAATGTAGTGGTTGTCTATAACCTGAAAGAGACAAGAGCAGTGCTCATTTTGAGATTAATATAGAGGAAGTGACAGTCCCATGACTGTGGTGTCAAGAGCAATCCAAGTTCTTCACAAAACTGGGGCCATTCTTGGCCACTTTGGGGGATTAACTGCTTGTGAATATATATGATTCCTAAAAAATGCCAAAAATCTTGCTTTGAAAGCAATAAAAGTGGATGCTTTGAATATTCAGCCATTTGCTCCCCATCATATGGTGCACTCAAATGTTTTTGAGTTCTGCCTCAATTTTAGACAAGGTGGGGAGCAAAAGCGTGGCATCCCCCAGTGCGGTCCTTGAAGATCTCAGGGATATCAAAGGACATATCTGTTTTAATGCTATGAAAGCAGGAGAAAACATGATATGCCTGATGATTTCCTTGAGAGGGTTCCTCAGAGTCAGCATTAATGTGGAATCCTCTGCTGCAAACAGACTGCACCTTGGCAGCAGATTAATAGTTTGCTCTCCAGATGTTGCACATATCTGCCCTCATTTGGTAGACTAAAACCAGGGAACAGCTATCGATTGATTTGTTAACAACTTGACACCACCAGCCTGCTTTTTATGTTTGATATTTGCCTGAATAATGAATACCTAAGTGGACTATAGTGTGATATTTACTTAGTGAGCCAGTGATAAAAGTTAAATAGATGTATGCATATTGATTTCATGTGGGAGGTCCCTGGTGATTGTCTTGAGAGCAGTGTTGGCATGAATTAACACACTACTGTTAAATTTGCATTTTTAATGGAACTGAATTATTCTCAGATGATCACATAAACTTGGCCATATGCTGTTAAGATATCCTATATGGTTTATGATTTTAAATGATAAAGAAAAAAATCCTTAGAATTCACTGGAGCAATCCAAGTGCTCTCACCTTCATGTATGTTGAGTATGGATCAGAGGAGTTGTTTTTAATTAATACAAAAATTTTTTAAGTGATGCATAGTAGTTTTACATTACTTATGGGGTATAGTGTGGCATTTTAATACATGTATAAGATATATAATCATTAGATCAGGGTAATTGGCATATCTGTCACCGCAGGCATTGATCAATTCCTTTGTTAGGAGTATTCAGAATCCTTTCAGCTATTTTGAAATATTAAATTAATTGTTATCAGCCATAGTTATCATATAAGTTGTTTTTAATGCCAGTCATCTTTTTTCTCTTTGGAAGGTATTTGTAGAAAAGCTTTCAAGGGTTAGTAGCTTGGTTTAATAAAAAAGGGGAAAAGGTAGCATGACAAATCTGCATATGCTCATCTATTCGTAAATTCAGCAAATATGAATTGAGTGTGTCCTGCATGTCAGTCATTCCACTAGTCTCATGGTATTGGTACAGTTTATTTATGTTTATTATAGGCTGCAGTTCTCCATTAAATTAGCTTTTGAATGCATTAGGACCCATCAGCTTCCTGGATACTTATGACTTTAATTTTATGTTTTAAATCTTAATGAGCATACTTTTTAGATGCAATAAAACTTCCAAGTTTTATCTCTATTGGAATTAGGCAGAATTCTTGAAAAAGAAATAAGAAAGTAAAAAAGCATTTTCTCCCTCAACCAAGAATATGAGTACTGTCTATTTATTTTTGTATTTGACAGTCCATCTGCAATAATATTTTTTAAACCTAATGTTTCTTTTAATAAGTGTTAAGTAACTCAAATCCACTTGCAATTTTTATGCATAATAGGTCATTTCCTCCCAAATCATCTTTCAAATCATGTGTATTTCTTTATAATTTGAGTCCATATTCCCCTAAGCAAGGTGGTTACTTTACAAGTGTTTGAAATGCTTAATGCTTATCGATTTCTGATTGGAAGGAAAGGGGACATTACTGATTTGTGTTTCCTATTAGATAATCTGAAGAGTTCATCCATCTCTTTCTCATCAACCAAGCACCTGTCAGGTGGGTAAGGCCCTGACACAAGGGGCTTCTTAATGCCACTGAGGAATTTAAAGTCTAATTGGGTAGTGTAACTGGCAGGTGAATACTATAGGGAGAAAGTACTATAAAATTTTTAAGAAAGAGAATCATGTTAGCTCTCTCACTGGGCCAAAGTATCATTCAAGCAATTGATACTAAACTGTATGTGCTTCCTGTTTCTTGTTCCTTTCAAACAATCCTCCCTCTCTTTTCCCCCTCCCCCTCTCTCCCCCACCTCTCTCTCTCTCTCTCTCTCTCTCTCTCTCTCTCTCTCTCTCTCTCTCTCTCTCTCTCTTAAGAAAATAGGACATAAGTTGGGCATGGTGGCACATACCTGTAATCCCAGTGGCTTGGGAGGCTTAAGACAGGAAGATCACAAGTTCAAAGCCAGCCTCTGCAACTTAGCAAGGCCCTAAGCAACTTGGCGAGACCCTGTCTCAATATAAAAAATAAAAAGGGCTGGGTAATGTAGCTCAGTAGATTAGCACTTCTGGGTTCAATCCCTAATACACCCCCCACATCACCCTTAACCCCCCCCTCCAAAAAAAAAAAAAAAAGAAAAGAAAATAGGCATAAAAAGAAGATAGTTTGCTTTGGTATTGTTGAAGCCCTTTATTATATTCAGTTTTAAAAATGCATTTCCTTTTCTTATTGTTACATACCTACTTTAAGAAAAAACAGCTCCCTGAAGTTCTAAAGTGTTTCATTGCTATGTCATTACTTTAATATGAATTTGAATGCTAAAATATCTCTCTGTCCTTATTCCCACTCTTTTGAATGGGAATAAGCCACTTGGCAGCAGAACTCACCATTGGCTTCCAAATAAGATGTGTGAACTTGGGCCATCAAAGGCACTTTGAAATTTTTAGTATTAAAATTTGATAGCTATACAAATATATAATTTAGCTCAGCTTTCTACCTTTCATTTCAAAGTGCTTGTGGTTCTTTTATAAATGTCATGATTAATTTCAAATGGTAGATTTACTTCTTTGTTTCCAGTTCATTAAGAGCATTTTAAGGTTTCTTTCTTTAATATATATTTAATCATTTGAAGAGTAAATCAGAAATAGAGAAGTGCTTTTAGGCAGTGATTATTTGGACTTGTTCTCTGTGTGCAAAATTATACTTCGTCATCAATCACTGCCTATTTTTTTTGTATCTATCCTGTGATCATGCTACTATATCATATTATTGATCTGAGACCTTTCGAACCTACTGCAGGGAATGGTAGAAATGTTCCTTGCTGCATTTCTCAAATGCCTGGCCCTTTGCCTTTTTCTTACTCTTAAACTACCACACTTTAACCTGTAGCAGTGAGGATTATATGTGTGATTCCTCCGTTGGTCTTGTGACTCCAGGTGAATTATCATTCTCCTTCTGAACAGGAGTCTCGTTTGAGGTTGATCTGAACTCCTGTGGGTCTGTGGTTCTGCATTTATAGAAAAGACTTTCTAATGAGGGAGTTATTAGATTTGCGTCTATTTTATGTTAGTGCTTTCTTGTCAAACTCATTGTGAAATTTACTTAGGTTTTGAGTACCTTAAGTTCTTAAGTCTCTGAGGTGTTTTATGTGACAGGAAGCAAGGAGGGAGGGGGAGCTATTGGGAAGGCCTTGAACTCTGTAAAAGCAGGAAGGGTCAAGCATTAGATGGCCATTGTCTTCAATCTACTTTATTTCAATAATGCCCATGTCAGAGAAGACATGGTCAGGAATGCTCTTTAGATTTCACCAATATTCCACTGATACTTTTATGGTTTGCTTCCTGTCTGCGTAATGTTCTTCAGTGTCAATCACAGATTTTACCTGACAGGGTTCATCTGTATGATGAAGAAACCCAGCACTTGGAGAGAATTGTTCAAGGTCAGACAATTCATTTGGGACAGTTCCATGTGGGATAC